CCTCAAAAGGTACAGTGATATTGCATCTTGACATTAATGACATGACATAAACATAAAATCAAGATTTTTTCAGATCTTGAAAAAAATGTTTGCGACCCCCCTTTTCTCTGTTGCTCTCCCTCATGTAGCTCTTATCACGGTGACACTGAAACAGCCAAGTGCTAAAGTAATTTTCAGCAACAACCAAGCAGAGCTGGAATGTGTCATCACTGGACAAGACCGAAACATTGTCAGTAACACTGACATCACATGGGAAATTGACGGAGTAAATGTGACTGGCAGCATTACTCCGACATCGTCTGGCGGCGGGCAGTACAGCAAAACCAGCAAGATGACTCGTACTTATGATGAGTGGAAGACAGTCAACAAAGTACGCTGTTCTGCCATTAGAGCACATATGACACCAGTTATTCAAGATCTGACTGTCCACAAAGGAGGTATGTTACTGAGGGATGGAACAGTAATCTGTGAACCCATGGGGAGGCAGCCAACTTACACACTCAAACATGTAATACAGTAAAGCAAATGTAAATCTTATATATGAAGCACCCTAGTAAACCAAGTGTCTCTTTCAGATGGCAGTCAGCCAGAAGTGTCAGTCAACATCCTCCCAGTGGAGAACATCGGCAAAGAAGACTCAGCTAAGGTCACTCTGGTGTGTCTGGTCTCCAGTCCTGTGCAGCAGGATTACTACATTGCGTGGTCAGAACATGATGGACAAAAATCCCCCATCTATGCTGATGGCGTTGACTTCCCGCCACAAAAGACCGAACATGGCTACTCAGTCACAAGTGTTTACACCACCACCAACAAAAACTGGAAAGCGAATTTCATTTACAACTGCAACATCAAGTCTGCTGGCACAAATCGCTCCTTCAACTCTCAAGTGTCTAAGGCTAAGGCCATGGGTAACTCAATTGAATGTGACAAATAGTGGATTCAGCTATAAATGTTGTGTTTTGTGCTAGTATGTCATTATGTCTCTGTGTATACTCCCTGACATGGGAACCTGTGTCATCAATCTTTGTGATTGTGCATATAAGAGTCAACATGTCAATTCAGTTTTGTTTGTCCTGTTATTGTGTTTGTCACATTGTCTAACAGCTTGAGAAATGTGCTGACCGTTTTAAATAAATGTTGCATGGAGACACTTTTGTTATATTTTCATGAATGACTTAGATATTTTTAAAACAAAATGAGAAGCAAAGCACAAAAAATCCCTTTGTATGAGTAGTTTTCACTGAAGCCTCACAGTAGTAAACTGCACTGCACCACTGTTTAACTGAATCAATGTCGACACATGACAGTAAAGAGTGAATCATGCTTTATTCCAGTTGATTAGCACTATTTAAGAAAGGCAATGGTGTCTATGATATCTTACTAAAAATCTTTGTTAACACACACCACAAACACACACATACAAACATACATCCAGCGTCTAACCCCTTATACCTTCCTCTTCTTAAATATTCCTTTAGATTCAAATCTGAATTTTGCTCTGAGCTGCACAGACGATGCCGGTGAAGAAGATGAGTTCAGCAGTCTGTGGTCCACAACCT